ATCTTTTTTTTATCAGTTTTTTTTGCTATATTATTTTCCTGGATTGTTTTCTTTTTAAATCGCACGATTACCCGTCCCTGCCCTTCTAGCATTCGCTTTAACTTTCGTTTCAAAAGAACACAGTTGAAACAAGCGAATCGATTGCGATATTTTAAAATATTCGCCCTAGGCATCAAATGGTAAAAGAGAAATTATTCGGCATGGTGCTATTTGAACTTGCCACTACTATAAGGAGATACAGCAGTGAGAGTCATTCTGCTCTAAATCTTGTCCACTATGCTAATTTAGTTCAGTAACACAATGTTCATCGAAATTTGTAATGACGCATAATCAAAATCACAGGGTTCCTATTCGCACAGTTGGGTCAAATGTAAGCGGCAGCTTCTGAATCCTCAATCGTCGAAACAGCATTCTTATTCCTTCTTCTACTTGCCAAAACAATACTTCTAATGATACTTTTTCGAAGATGCTAATCGCATTCGTGCCGCTTCCACATAGTCTGTGTCTCCAAATATAAAGAACAAAATAAAATCAAAATCAATATTACGCGCACTAAGACCGCGTTTTATTTGGAAGTGCAGGAATACGAAAGGCTATATATAGTGGATATTAGCCTTTCGTATTTCTGCGATAAAATATATCTTTTATTTGCTCTTTCCTTTTACTATTCCGTTTCTATGCTGAAATGTACGGCAAAGTAGTAGAGAAAAATCAAGAAAAATGTATCTTTATTACCCATCATTTGTGCGATATCAACAATCACGTTGGGCTTGCAAACCCATTAAAGCAGATAATTCAACAAATAGATGGCGAGAGCACATCTCTAATCAAAACCACGATTGTATACACAAGCAGAATAACGATAAATAAGAATACCCATAACAACTGAAACAATACAACTTCCGGAAGTAGATGTTGCTTTGTTTCTATCACATGTGCATAAGAAAGGCGACGACCGGTAGTAAGCAAACAAGCGTCACGCCCAGATACACGAAAACATTGTCATTCTGAAAGTAAATGAGTTATTGGGACAGGGAAAGACGCTCTTTTTGAACTCACAGCCTATGAAATTCTACCCCCACACTGTAAGCGACAAAGCCTGGGTAGGAGAGGGTGAAGCAGCAGGCTCCGCCCTCAAGGACTACTGATCCTTTCCAAATTTTGTTGAAGGTAGTAGAGCACCTTGTTTAGACTGAAGAACTTCAACGTAGGCTGACACACGATTCACTAAGAAGAAGTCAGCGTTTTCTGTTTTCTAAGAACATGGAAATGGAACAGTCGTCCGCGGGGCGAAACCTTATGGCGGTCCTCATAGACGAACTGAAAATACTCTCAGCGCTCCTGTCTGAAGGAGGATTATTTACCGCCATTAGGTCCCACCCCCACGGATGACTGTTCCATTTCCATGTTTCTTAAGGAATAGAAAATGTCGACTTATTTTTGATAGAGAATCCCAATGAGTGTGTCAACCTACCTTGAAGTCCTCCAGTCTAATCAAGTTGCTCTACTATCTTCAAAAGTTAAAAATGGGTGTATGTCAAGAACAACGATAACTGGCAGCAATCGCGCGCGCATACGCTGCGTAATTGCCTGCACACGGAATAACCCGCCCTTGCGCAGTATACGCGTATGCGGCAGCTACAGCAAATACTGGCTACCCCCTTCGCCACATCAACTTCTTTTCCTAATAGAACATCACTGTTACAGTGATGCTATAGTTATAATTATATGAAAAGAAGCAAGCGAATTTTTGGTGTTAAATCCAAATAGGTGTTCGATTCTCAAGATTCCTATAGTATTCGTCATCTCTGTTAAGCTCTTTCTTAGAAATTCGCAGTTGAAAGTGGAAGGATATGTTTCGCTGCAATATTTTTTGATCACTACTTGTTCTTGAAAGCTTGTTGTTTATATAAGTAGCTAATAACAAACTGCTAGCAATAAGTGAAATCAAATCTATGCGTCAGATCAAACCGAAGCCAGTGTTTGGGCGGTTTGTGACGAATTACCCAGCTTTAACATTCGGGATATTCATCTCAGAAGCTTCCTTTTAACAACCAGGTCTTATTCTTGAATGGTAATGATTAGATTATAAAACTGACTCAATACATCAGGGAAGGATCACAAGAACTTTGTTTGCAGTTCAGAGATCGCCATCAGGGATGAACGAGCCAGAGATTTACCTTTGGATTAATGCACCCCAAGTTATTGGACCATCGTTCTATTGAGTTCAAACAGACAATTTCATTCTGTTTGGAAAAGCTTTATTTCTTAGTGAATGGTTTCCTAAATATGCTTAAATATCTGTAATATTCAACGCCGGCATTGTTTTTATAATCTAGTTGTGAAATTTCCTATGATTACCGGTACTTGTATTAAGGGTAGGTTGAAGGTGTTGGCTTGACCAACAATCAAATCTAATCGAACAGCGGAAACACTAAAAGAAGTTCATTCTTAAAAATCTGTTTCTCATTTCTATCTTGTCTTAAACAACGCGAAAGCATTTGAAGCAGAGCAATACAAAACCAACAGTATTGAGCGCGGCAGATTCGGGTTCAGCGCGTCTCCCATGCTCTTTTGTGACACCCACACACCGATTTGTGCAGGCCTATGCGCTTTGGAAGTGAGACTACCAGCAAGCTGCACGGAATGCCAGCAGCGGCCGGCGGAAGCTGTCGTTATTTTTGACCGCCACCCCAATTATGGAGATATGCGCCTTCCTTTAAACTGGCTAGTTAAAGATAGTGAGCGGCCCTTGCATCGCATTTATATGTCTCTACTCCATCTACTGAGATCCCTTACTACTTTCGTGCGCTGAGGAACAGCATTACTCTCACAATTTATTTCCGGACCGCGCCATGCGTGTGCCCTAGAGCGGGCATGTCCAATAGAAACAGACTCATCATGCGAAGGAACAAAATTCTCTACCTTGTCTTCGAATGGATTTCGAGTTCGTGGACCACTGACGTATTCTCGTACTGGCTCTTGCCAGCTGCGCGGTTCCGCCTCGTCAGTGTACTCTATCTCCCCTTCTTCTTCCAGATCATCTTCGACGATCTTCTTTCTCGAACGTCGGCGCTGAAAAGGCGCAAATACCGATGCTATAAAGCAGAACTATAAGCAAAAAGTGTTCACTGGAACTGGCACCTGGGAACGTGGGCAGCAATCGATATCGATCAATTATAGGAACATAAATAACCTGCGCTGTTTTGGTGCAGTAGGCCGTCCCTTATGCCAAATGGGATAAAATAACAACAATTACCTGTACCCAAGTATCCTCCTGTGACTGAACAGGTGGTGGGGGTGGGGGAAGCGTGTTAGATTTGCCTTTTAGAATAGCTATGGCATTTATTTTTGGATTATCCACAACCTGAAGTGAGCTATTTTTGGTTCCAATAGTCTATCAGATAACTTTCTTTACCGGTGTTAACCGTATCTGAAGTTTGCCATCGATGTC